AAGCTAAGACCCAATGTTTTAACCCATCTCCTAAGCTCTACCCACTAGACCCATTTAGCCTTCTCAGCCCGTTTAGAACGTTTATACAACCCATCATTCCTCTTGTAATTGGCTCTCCTTATCGAGGCCCGTTCCAATTCAAATAAACACCAAAATGTTGTATGTCGCTTATGTTTTGGGCTACACGAAAACGAAACACCTCCCTTGCATTTTGGTAGTTAAAATTTTGAAATTATAAATCGACCCAACCCGTCTTGAAAACGGGTCTTGTCTTCCCTACCTGGCTCCCATATTCCAAACTCTCCTTCACAGCTTCGATGAAGTTGTTCTCTCTTCTCACCTCTAATTTCAACCACAGCTTTGTTCTGCAGTTTGGACAACATAGCATAACCAGTAAAATTCTCGACCTTCTTTCAGGCTATGCATTTGCTTCTAAACATTTGTTCTAACCTCCTCAAGCTTCTATGTTGCCTTGAATTTTCTACCTGCCATTTCAAATAGTGTCACAATCATTTTCCACCATCCACCAACCTGTGGACCTTTCAAAATAAAAATTTGCCTCACTATCTCCCCTTTCCCATCTGTGCAGACCAAAAACCTCCCATTCATGTTCCTACCCATGGCCACCCGCAAGTTGTGGCTCCTTCTTATCTTGTTCCGACCATATACCTTCCCACCTTTAGTCCAGTAAAACTCATGTAAAGCTCCCAGTAACAAGTCCACATCATCTTCTCAAAATGAGATTAAAACCCTAAAGCATCTCCCACTTTTACTCACCCTCATTCCTTTTGATTTTTCCCCCTCATAGATAATATCGAAAGTTTTACTTTCATGGCCAAAAATCTTTTCTCTTGAGTGATCATCCTAACCGCCCCCCTTAAGGACGACAATGTTGGCCATGCGAGTATACTCAACCTACGTCCGGTTGATTTCTCTCAACCTGCCAAACATCTAGTCAAAGCTCTCTCTTGTCCAGTCATCACAGTTCTCTCGTTAGGTATTTGGAGATTACACTTATTCAGCCTTGTTTAAAGAACTTATCGTCAAGACTACAATTCAAGGTCAACGACAATTGGCCAAAACATTGATTTTTTCGTTCCTCATGTCGATTTTCATTTTAAGAGACTCTTTGTTGTAGAAAAGAAGACTTTGGTGGACCATTTTAGGAGATTGTGCTTGTGGGAGGAAGGATCGACGACATTAGTGTTAGAAGATATACAAAAGGTTCAGTTCAACCATTATTTTCTAGGAAGAAGAGGTGGACCGGTTGCTTATAAAGCTCTGAGAGTTTTACTTGGAGGAAGGCAAAGGCTCCTATGTCAGAAGCATGGCGGGTCGATAATATTCCTTGCAGGTGGCATTAAGAGATAGCAGAGTTGGTAGGTTCCCGATATTGACAGAGAAGAATGAAGAGCATAGGAGGATTTTCATTCCTTAAGGGCTTCAGGCAAGCGGATGGTGGAGATTGATGGTGACATTGAGTGAATTGACGGGTAAAGCATTGAAACATCCATGGAAACCAAAGTTGAATCTACCACGTATCTTGGAAGAAGGAGAATAGATACCAATTTCAATAAAAAGGGTGACTTGCAACATCTAGTGCCTTAATTACAAATTTATGCTCTATGTGTCACTGGAGACACAATCGATGAGATGTTTCACATAAACAATGAAGGATGCAAGCGTGACAGTCAATCAGGTTGAGAAGATGACACCTATGACTAGAGTAAGTTAGACAAACTTAAAATTTCAAATTGACCCTCAATTGAAACAAAAAGTTCGAATGGACAAAAAATTAAGATTTTTTCGAGTAAACATAAAAAGAGATCAGTTAGGCAAATTAAGCACCTTAGCGAGCCCAAATGTAAAGATTTAGTATCGAGAAAATGGAAATGGACCAAATGAAGCACGTCCAGCTTCCAATCACAAAAGAAACCCACAACTAGCCTAGAAATCAGAAGGTTGTCCTAGAGATAAGGGAGAAGACAAAATCAACAGGTGAGAAGGAAACAACCAACCATTTAGTTTGAAAGAAGATATTGAACATAGCTACTTCGAGGAGAGTAGTCAGCAATCTCTAGATGGGCTTTGGGAATCGGATGGCATCTTGGCAGGCAGGGATGATTCTGAGTTTTTGTTAGCATAAGTTCCAGCGAAAGTGGATGAGGAGATTGTGCCTCTACCTGTGGTAAGGGATGGTGAGGAAACAAGTTCACGGATGACAGTAAAAGGGAGGAAGGTGGATGATTGATCAGTAGTAGTGGTAGAGAAAGAAGAGATTGGGACGTACGACAATGAAGAAATTTTAAAAGCAACCATAATAATATCTTGAAAATTTGTTGGGAGTTAGCTTCAATAATTTTGAGGAACAAGTGTAAGAGGATAATCAAAGATAGAAGAAGAAGGGAGGAGGGTAGAGTTAAGACACCAAAGTCCACATCAAAGAGAAAATATGGGGTGGACAAGGAAAAAGCCAAGGATAATAGAGGAGAGAAGGGTACCAACAATTTTAATATGTTAAAAAAATCATTTTCTAGAATTGGAGGAGTTTCAACAATCCAAATGAATAACGCTAATTAGACGGTGCATGTCTAGATGTAAGTCAAACGTGATCCGTTTTCAAGAAACCAAATTGGAGATGTTTCCAGACTAGTGGCTTTGTTGTATTTGGAAAATAAGGGAGGTGGTTTGGAAGACTTGTTGGCTAATGGGTTGGGGGAGGTATCATTATTTTAAGTAATGAGAGTGTGATGGAAATTGAAAATAGTTAGAGGGTGAATGCTCAGTCTTATGTTGCTAAAATGCAAGGCGAGCGGATGGTGCTAGGTGCTCAAATGTGCCTACATTAGAGGTGAAAGGAGGCAAAGGGAGAAACTATGGGGAAACCTAGAGAAATGCAAGAGGAGATGGGACCTTCCTTGGGTGATTGGAGAAAACTTCAATATGGATTTCAATGGGCATGAATGTTCGAGGGCGAATTACTCTTGAGCCTACATTTGTGGAAGAGTTTCAGGGCATGATGAATAAATTGAATCTATTAGAACTTACTCTATTAAGGGGAAGATGTACTTAGTTGAATTTTAGGGATAGGCCCATTTTCTCTAGAATTGATCGATTCATTGTATTTGCATCCTTTCAATCATGCACTATTTCATATCATTTCTTTATTGGTTTGCATTCTAACTGAATTATATGTGGACCATGCCCATTCAAATTTGAAAATAAATGGCTTAAAGTACCAGGTTTCCAAGATAAAGTCAAGATGTGGTGGAGAAATAGATGTGGAAGGTCATAGTAGTTCCAGGGTTTATAAGAAATTATTGCAAGTCAAAGCTAAAACTAAAACAATTGAATAGAGACAAATTTAGGGTGGAGGGTAGAAAAGGAATCTTTTCTTCAACAAGTTGGAAGGGCTTGATACACTGGAAGCAGAGAGAGGATTATCAACCAAGGATATAGAAAATAGATAATTCAGCTTGAGTTGTCATATTTAATTATAATGGAGGAGACTGCATTGAGACAAAAGTCAAATGCTATGTGGACAACGGGAAGGGAATAGGAACACAAAATTTCTCAATAGCATGGCAAATCATCATAGAAGATGCAATCATATGGAGAAACTGGAGATGAAAGACCACAGAGTGAAGGGTAATGAAGAATGGAGGTAAAGAGGCAAAAACTTTAGCAATAACCATTTTCCTGGACTATCTTTTTTCCCACCAAACTTTCAAAGCAATTTTCTAAGACACTTCTCTCCATCAGTTGCAAAACAGCTCATCAATTCGCCAAAAAATAGTATTTTTACTCATTCCCATAACTTCCCCACAGCAACAACACTCCCAAAAGGAACCTTCTTTCTAAATGCTTTCAATCTCTTGGCCACATGTCTTGAGATCAGAAAAGAGACATAAGATAAATACAAAAGATGCAAGAGGTAATCTTGACAGATACCAAACTGCCCTCCCTCTGAGCAGCTTAATAGAAAGTCATACAACATGAGTCTCCATGAATAACTATGATCCTATGGGCTTGTAATTAAGTTAGCACACAAAGACATCACTACATCAACCTAATTTTGAATGCACAATATATTTAGCAGAAAAAATAAAATAATTTCCAGGAAATCACCAGTTATGTTGATATCCATTCATGATAACTCCTAAAAACTTGATCGGATACAAACATCCAGATAAAGTATCAACATGATAGATTCTGAACCAAATCTATGAGGTGACAGCTAGAGCGGCCAGCTAAATATATAAGACATTATATAAGCTCATGATTGGTCGACCTAAATCAACTTCTTAATAACCCCCTTGCCCTCCAAAAAGAAATGGAATACAAATAAAAGATCCTTCAATTGAACAACAATAGCTAATATTTAAATAGTATCATTCAATGTTTAAGAAACCAACTAACATAACTCCCTATCAGTTCAAACTAAAACATATAGAAATAATAAAACCCACATGCAGCAATCACACAATGTATAAAGATTTAAAGAATTCACTGAAAGTTATAAGCTAAGTAAATTAGCAACCTATTAGTGACATTGAACTTCTCCTCATCGTTGAGATAATCTTCGGCGTCCATGAAGTCCTCCCACTCGGGCTGTGACTCATGGCCTGGTGCAGAGTCGTGGTCCTTAAACTCGGGATGGGCGTGCTCGAAGTACTCCTTCTCCCATTGCTTATCCTCGCGGCGGCGTTCCATGTCAGCGACCAGTGGGTCAAAGGGTACGGGTTCATGGTGGGCGGGCTTGAAATTGAAAGCAGAACGCAATTTGAGGCGGCGGTGACGGTGGTTCGTGGGTTTCTTGGGGGAGTGAGAGACGAGAAAGAGAATTAATGCAGCTACGATCACGTAAATAAGTACTGAAGCTTTACCCATCTGAATTTGTATTCACATACACTCAACACAAAATGCTTTGTGTATGTATACGTATAGAGAGAGAGAGATCTAGAGAAATGCAGAGGCAGAACTAAGGGGGGTTTAGAGAGAGAAAGAGATCTGGAGAAGGGTTCTAAGAGAGACGAAGAAAGCTTAAGAGAGTTGACGATTTGGACTGATGGCGGAAAAGAAGGAAAGGTGATTTATGGGTTGTAACCAAGGGAGGAGGAGCTGTGGATCTGTTGGCACAGCACAGAGATCATTCATGCTTCTCCCCTTCTCTTTTTGTTTTCTGTTCTTTTTTTATTAAGGAAATTTTTCGTATAATGATGTGATAAACTATTAATTAATTGCTTAATTAAAACATGCTCTAATTGTACTTCACGTTATTTGTCATTTTTTTTTTATTTTTTTTTTTCCCCCACAACCTAAAGAACCTCGTTGCATTTGGAAAGATACAAAATTATTGCTTTTCATTTAAAAATAATACAAATTTATTTCGTTTCTTAAAAAGATAAAATTGTCAAATATTTCTTAAGTTTGTATTATTGTATAAAAATGTAACATGAGTTCTTGTATTTATTTTAAAAAATTGTATTACAAAAAAATTACTATTGAAAAATATACTTTTAAAAGATCTTAACATAATTATTTTTTTTAATTTTATTAACTTATTGAATATACATCTCTATTTAAAGACGATCAATTTTTAATTTTTTTATTTTATTTTTTATCTATGGTTCTTATTTGTCTTTTTTTATATTAATAAGAAGTTTATGAATATTGTTAGTGTTCTCTCATTTTCTCTCATCTTTGTTATCATCTCAAATTCCTCTCTCATCTATACTTTCATTTGATTCTATTCTTAATCATCTCTAATCTATTATAAATTGAGTTTTTAATTATTTATACTCTGTTTTTATTTATGTTTAGCTAAATACTACAAATAAATTCGAAATTAATTAATTAAATTTGCATTGGGTGTTTACTTTTTTCTTTTAAACTTTCAAATTTCAATTCAAAATTCTTTTAAATTATCACAAAATGATTAGTTTTTATCGATTCTAGTTTGATGTATAAATTTATTATACTCAATTGAATTAGTTTAGGTTTTACTCCCACTTAATGATGAATTGAGTTTAGGTTCAATTTTTACATTAAAAAAATTAATTATGCATGTGATCAAATGTGATTTAAGGAGCAAAGACATCTTGCCTCTACATACCAAAATGATTAAGTAGTCAAATCTATCGTTGAATTTCTTGCTAACAAAACAAATGAAAACCAACTAATATGTGGATATATAAAGAGATTGACATATACAAAACAAGTAAATGAGATAGAGACAAATTATCACATATCACACCCGGCCTTATAAGGTAATAACCGAAACATACTTACTTAAATCATATACACTTGAATTAAGTAAAATAACTTAACTTTATTAATAATAAAAGTGTCGTAGAAGTGTTACATCCATTAAATGTAAAACATAAACATGTGTATGAGACTCTAAATTTTCTTACTTATATTATTAAATAAAAGTACAAAACAGTAATTTTAATATCAAAGTCTAGCTTATAAAATTTTTTTCATATCATCGTTCACTCCTCAGCGATATCTTCAGTATCTCTAGAGTGATAAGGGTGAGACAAAATATCATAATAAGCGATATTATAAAATCACAGCATAGTAAATGCACTATATAGTTTCTTTACACACAACAAAACATATATCATATAGTCTTTTCAAATCAGATATGAATCAAAAGACGAAAGCACAAATCAGAAAATATATATATATTGTATACTTCATCACTATTATGGATGATCAATCAGTTACCATACATTATGCGCAGACACAGATACTTATCACTAGGTTCCTCATGTACCTTAATACGAAATGACATACATGAGTACCTTGAAACACCACTACTCCACGAACACAGAACAGTTACTACACGCAGATCAAACTGTTTTTTCATACACCTAAATACAAAATGATTATGTATCGGTACACACTTCTCACTTTGCCAATATACCCGAACACGAAACGGTTATGTACGGGCAAATTAAAGCCTAGCATAATGCAGGTGCTTTTAAAATTATTTTTTTACATAATGAGTTATGCTCACATATCAAAATCACATTTCGAAAATACAAAGCAAAATAACACTCATATCGAAGTAAAACTTTAACAAATACTTACTTAGTAAATATGGAAGACAAATTAAATATATGTACTTTTTTATACTGAAAATACGTAAAATACTTCAAAACTACGTAGGTATGAATCCATAATATTCATTTACCTTAGGTTTTTAGCAGTTGTAATCTTAATTCTGACGGAGTTCTAGCTTTATTTATGATTTTTTCCTCTAAAAAATCTGGCAGAGTTTTGGGATGATTTTTTGTCACTTCCTTTACTCAAAAATATTCAACACAATGCTCAAAAACTAATCTCAAAAATCAAAGAGAAATCAAACTTCAAAAATTAAGAAAAAACTTATCTTTTTAATGGTTTATAACTTTCTTTTGATCATCAACCTTATTCCTCTTTCTCTATTCTCACAAATTTAGCAGTATTTCCTCAAAATTTTTATATAAAATCTCAAAATACTCTCAAATATCACACACTTCATACTGCCTCCTCTTTCTTCACTTTTATGTTTCTCACTATTTTTCTCTCATCTGGAATATTTTTTCCTCCCTTCTCTTATCCCCTATTTATAGGAGTGGGGAGCGACGAGAGAAATGTTACCACCATTCTGTCATACCATTTTATCTAAAAATTATTACATTTCATCATGTCACTTTAACTAAAACTTTACTACTTTTCACATGTTGTTTTATCTAAAAGGTCTTTTGACATGTCATTTCATGTAAAAGGTTACCACTTTTCACATGTCACTTCATCTAAAAATTATCACTTTCTGTTATATCACTTCATCTAAAAGTTATCACTTTTCATTATGCTATTTTATCTAATAGTTATCATTTTTTATTATACCACTTTATTTAAAAAGTTCTCGCCATTTTTCATGCCTCTTCATGCTTATTCTATTTTTGTCATCCTTATCCCTCATTTTTCCATTTGACTATAAACTATCTCCTTAACCTATATATTTTCAAACACATATAAATGTTAAATTAAACATATCAAACATAAGAAATTAGCTTAGAGGTGTTTTCAAGCTATCACATGCTCCTCCCCCCTAAAAAAAAAATTTGGTCATCCAAATTGGACTTACCAGTAGTTAAAAACAGATGTGGGTATTTGGCCTTCTTTTCCTCTTATGGCTCTCGTGTTGCTTCTTAGTCGAATGATGCTATTATAGTACCTTTACCAAGGAGATTACATTGGACGATAATATATTCTCTTTGAGATCCACTATCTATACAGAAGTTCATTGTATGATAGGTTATCCTGAAGTGCAAGGGGTTCATATCAGAATACATACGATGAATCTAGGTGATATTTCTTCATCATCGATACATGAAAGACATTGTTTATATTGGCTAACTCAGGTGACAATGCTAAGCTATAGGTGACAACTTGCATTCTATCCAACATCTCAAAATACATGGTTGTCTACTACGAATTCGAAATCTCTTCTTTAATTGTCAGCACAATTTTTCTGCCTGCTTTGAGCTGTTAAAAGATGGTTTCTGATAAATTTCACATTCTCTATAGTTTCTTCCACTCATTCAAGTTCATCCAATTTTCGTTCCCCAACTTCTTCTCGACAAATAGGTGATCTGCATGGTCTTCCGTACAAAGCCTCATAAGATGTTATTTAAATATTGGATTGATAACTATTGTTATACGTGAACTCAATAAGAGATAAATGATTGTCCTAAATACCTCGCAACTCAATGATTCAGGTCTATACCATATATTTTAGATTTTAGATTGTTCTTTCTGATTGACCATTTGTCTAAAGATGAAAAGTCGTACTAAAAGATAGCTTGGTCTCTAAAGTATTTTGTAGATTGGCCTAAAATCTTGAAGTAAAGTGGGGATCTCAATCGGAGATGATTATGATGGAATTCTATGTAATCTCACAATCTTCTTGATATAGAGTCTGGTCAGCTTGCCCAGTGAATCATTCACTTTAATAGCTAGAAAATTAGCAGACTTAATTAATCTATTAATGACAACCCAAATAGCATCATGTTAAGATCTTGTTTTAAGTAGACGCACCACAAAATTCATGGTAATATGTTCTCATTTCCACTTTATTACCGACAATGGCTAAAGTAGTCCGGCTGATCTATGATGTTTAGCCTTCACTTATTGACATGTGAGACATTTAAAAATGAACTTTTTTATATCATTCTTCATCCCACTCCATCGGTTCTCAAGTTCTAATATATTTTGGTGTTCTCAGGGTGAATAACAAATTTAGAGCAATGTGCTTCTTCTAATATCTCATTTTTTTATACTGTTATTATTCAACATACATACTCTGTTTCTAAACCTCAATTCACCGTCTTATGATAATCTAAATTCTAGCCTAAATCCCTTACTGACATATTTCATAATTGACTTCAAGGTAAGATCATACTACTAGTTTCTCTAATTTTCTGCACCAGAATGGATTTTACTTTTATTAGGTATCCTTCTGATATCTTATATCGGACATTCAGGTTCAACTTTTAGAACTCCTCTATGAGTCTCCACTCTGAGGTCATTATATAGGTAAGAGTGCAAGTACTCTTCCTACTAAGTGCATCTGTAACCATGTTGCTTTTTTTCTGGATAGTATAGGATCTTCCAATCATAATCCTTAAGTAAATTCATTCATCTCCTTTGGTGCATATTAAGTTTTTTTTGTAAGAACAAATACTTCAAACTTTCATGATCTTGTGTGAATCTCGAAACTTTCATCATATAGATAATGACGCCAGATCATTAATGTAAAAACTATGGCGGCTAGTTATAAGTTATGGGTAGGGTAATTCTACTCATGATTCTTTAATTGTATGGAACCATAAGCTATCACTTTTTTGTGTTGCATTAATATGCATCTCAACCCTTACTTGAAGCATCACTGTAGATAGAGAATCCACTAATACCATTAGGAATAGTCAATACTGGAGCTGTTGTCAAACGTTTCTTCAGTTCTTGAAAACTTTATTCACACTTATCATTCCACTCAAACTTTGTATCCTTTCTAATAAGTTGACTCAGTGGAGTAGCAATCTTTAAAAAGTTTTTAATAAACTTCATGTAGTATCTAGCTAGACTATGAAAATTTTATACTTCAATTATCGTTGTAGGCCTTT